AGAGAGAGAGAGAGAGAGAGAGAGAGAGAGAGAGAGAGAGAGAGAGAGGATATGCTCTTTTCAGATAAAAGATGAATGCATCTATGAGGGACAGAAGAGGGGTAAGAGAGAAATAGAGCCAAATCACATGAATGAACAGCGTCTCTTTTTTTTTTGTTTCTTTGTTTGTTCACTGTGCGGGCATCGCCGGCACTGTGGGTGCTAAGCTAGTATTATTCTAAGCAGTGGAGATTCGGACTGAGCAGTCGGAGGTAGAAGGTCTGCAGCGCAAATTTCTTGCGCTGATGATGTAGTTACAGTGCGATACCTAAAACCTCTAACTGAATTATTCTGGAATTTTCAATACGAACTCTTGCTGCGCAGTCAGACTTGTCTCAATTTCACTCGCAACATGCATACATGTAAGTGTCGATGGCAGCACAACTTCGTCAACTCAGAATCCGCGGCAAACTTGCAATGGAGTAGCGCCCACACAGAAAACTCAGAAATATGGCCGAAGGCCAGGAACTCAGCTTAAGTCAACTCGTCACATGTAGCGGCAATGGCCGCTGCACGCTGTTCTGAATTCCCACCGAACACTGTGTCCACCAACAGACGCACTCTCACTTGCASACACACGCACTAGGATCTACCTGAATGYCCATGCACACACACACACAATATTGTTGTCGTCAACAAGCTGGCGGCTATGGCCGCCGTCGTCTTCCTCCTSTCTCACTCGGCTRYGGCCGCTGTCTTCTTCCACTAGCCCACTTYGTCGTCGGGCTCCTGCAGACCTCCGATGCACAMGTCRCATAAGCAGYGCTTCCGCAGGMGAATGAATGAATGGCTGGGCTCTGCCTCTTTAATGAATGGCTGGGCGCTTCCTCTTTATTTATTCTGTTTCGCTGGTGGTCTGGCCTGCCTTCGGTCCCAGGCCCCAGTGATGTGCGGCCCCACCTGGTACTTGCTGACTGGACAAGGTGGACTGGGACTGAGACTGCCGACTGGACTAGGACTATGCTGACCCTTGCTGACTCTGCTACGGACACTGACTCCTAGGGCTCCGAAGAGCCAAGTAGCGGCTTCTAGAACTTCCTAGACTACGTTTGACTGCCCTTTCGCTATGCTGAGGGCTAACCCACAGGACTGACTCTCAGCTACTAATCCCAAGGTCTACGGGTCAAGTCCACGCGATCACACCTGTACGCATGACCCCTAAACTTACGTTTTAGGAAACAGGTCACCGGTTCAAGGCACAGAGGTTCAACGGGTAGCTGTACAGGGGTTCGGGTTAGGTCTAGGGATCGATCCGTGGGGGGGATTGCACTCTCGCGTTTCAGCTGCCCAGGCTCCAGGACCTCTTGGCCGGGCACCTCTAGCCTGTACCCGGCCAGGCCGTCCCATTGGTGTCCTGGGCCTACCAGATGTTCCCTTTTGCAGTCGTTTCACTGCCGTCCCACACCCCGATTCAAGACCGAAGACCGTGTACCTTCGGGCGTGGACCCTCTTCACCTACGGGATAGCTGCAGAACACTTCTAGGCCTATCGGGGTACTGGGAAATTGTGGGAATATCCCTCCTTCGTCCCTAGCAAATTCAAGCTATATCCTTAACGGACCAACAACCCCCAGTATATATATCCTAGTACGAGATTTCTACCATGTCACCTAGTCTACACTTAATTTCTAACCTGCCCCTGTCCAAGGCTCAGACAATCCGCATAGCCAACAGAGTTAGCACCCTCGGTCATACTTCAAGTTGGGACTTCAGATTCCACAGGCTAGCATCTGGACAGCAGCAGAAGCCTCTCGGGACGATGATGCACCAGGACGTTGCCCGGCTTGACTGACTGACTTTGACGAGTCAATCCCAACTACGTGTGGCTCGAGGCCAAAGCCGGCAAATGGTTTCTGAGAACGCCCGCCAGTCGTTGAAACTCAGGCTCGTTCAGTATAGCACAGTCATGGACGGAGTGGAATTTGAGGAGATATATCCAGGGTTCGACAGCATTGAGGAGAAGACAGTTACCCCTGTGTGTTGCTAGGCGAGTGAGAGCCATGCAGGCATTCAACTTAGTATTCTTTGATTCTTCTTTCTCCAAAATCAGATATGCCAACCACCACCACATGGTTGCGTGTTCTTTGGACCCCTTTAGCAGAGCGGGGCGAGAGTTTGACTGGGTCTCGATGAAAACCTCGTCAATCTCGTCGCTAAGAAGATCGAAGTGGTTGGCCAGGAGATAAGACAGCAACCTGGCAGGGCTGCGGTATGCCCGTGTCAGGGTAGGCAAACGGCTATGGTCGTGGTAAATGAAGGTCATGAAATCCCGCCACGAGTCCTCGTAGGGCTTGATAGCGGACAAGTGGTCTATAAAACCATCAAGGATAGGGAAACGGTCATGGTCGTCTTGGTGAATGTTGGTCATGAAATCCTGCCACGAGGGCTCTAAGGGCAGGATAGAGGATAAGTAGTCGATAAAACGAACAAGGTTGGTTACCAACCTTCTTCGCTCCTGTGTGATCAGCCTGGGGACGATGTCGCGATCAATCTGGATCTCCACCCTGCGGTCGGGACCATCAAGGGGCAGGTGATCATCTGAGAAGTACCTCAGGAACAAGTCGCAGAATGCCACCAGTACGTACACCATATTGATGGGCAGTCGTTCGAACCGCATGTGCAGAAGACGTGTCAGCTCGGCAACCTCGAAAGGGAAAAGGTGATGTGAGCCAAGGGCATGATAACATAAGAAGACGTGGGCTAAGTTAAATGCGCAGAGTTGAGACCCCCAGGGGGCCACAGAAAAGTCTACGATCAGCGGAAGTGCTCTGGACTCCCGAAAAGCGCCTCGCGGGGGTAGGATACAGGACTGTTCATATTTCAAGCAGCTGTGGCGGTGGTGAACGCCGAAGATCACCTCCCGCCGAGGTGTTTTCCATTCTATTTTTGGAGACTGTGCTGCTGCAGAAAGCTGCGTGAAGCTCTGGACTTCCTCCAGCCTCACTGAATGCGCATACGGTACATGCCTACTCAGTACCATTCCGAAGACCCTGAAGGTGTACTCGCAGCCTGCGTCCGTCAATTTCCCACCTGCTGTCATGGTTGCCATCTCTTCGAATAGAATTTTACCCTGTTCCCCGCAGAACAAAACTTCCTGGAGTCGGTCTCGTTCGCAGAGCACAAAAAGTGCTGCGGCGGCATTCTCCTGGACGTGGGGAGAGTCGCTGGACAYCAAAGCATTTAGCATATGGAATCCCAGTCCGCTCACCTGGAGGTSATCCAGGGGAMGGAGCGGATCGTACGGATCCGCCAWSCCCGACYMTCGTTCCCTCCTACTTATCTGTGACAAGTGATTGAGGATCGCAACTGCCCTTTCCCGGCATCCCGCGGACCTGTGGCCGTCAAGGATTTTGCAAAGCTCACTAATACCCGTCCCGTTTTCTCTGACGATCAAGTCGCAAACGTGCCKATCGCSGCTCTTGGCGAACCGGGCCAGTGCGTCCAGGGCCAGTTCCTGGTCCATATCCACTCCGTTGGACTGCATGTCTGGGAATAAAGACCTCTTTCTGTCCCTGCTGCGGGGACCGAAAGCACGCTTGAGCAGCTGCTCCACGGTAAGGAACCAGTGTCCGGGCAGGCCGCAGTTCCCGTCGGTTTGGTAGGCGCACACAGCGGGCAACAGAGGGTGTTGCTTGCAGTGCGAGTACCACACGAGAGCCGATAGGTCTTCGATCGCCCGGCTCTCTCGAATGGCCCGTGGTAAGCTCCTTATGGCCTCCCTGGTCTCAGGCGCTGCGCCACGCGTCCATGTGTCGGTTGAACTGCGGCAGAGGTGTGCTTCTCGACTCGAAAGCAGGCGCTTCAGACCCAAGACAAGCGAGAAAGGTGTGGAATGGAACGAGTTGAACCAGACGATGAAGAGGGAGATAACGACCTCCAAAAAGACGACGCCATAGCAGCAGTGTATAGTCTCTAGAAGCCTGTCCTGACCTGGATCCTCGATGGGCAGTGCTTTTTGAGAAATAACTCGCCCAGCCAGCGTCCCAGCCAACACTCCCTGCGATAGAATGCCTGACACTCGCAAGAACCACACCGCCGCAAGGTAGCTATGATAACGACTGGAATCCTCAGCGAACTGGAGCATGACAAAACTGCAACGCACGCCACTGGCGACGTAGTCCTGAACGAACATTCGGGTGAGTTTCAACATAGTTTCGACGACGAGCACGCCCACGCACAGCCAGAATGCCGCTCCCTCCATGCTCCCGCCAAACGATCCAAGGATAATGAGGACCACCGTGAGCACGAGCCAGCCCACGATCCTCTCAACGTGCTCCAGTAAAATCAACCTCTCCATCCGACTTTTCACCCCTGCCGATGGAGGCGGCAAATCCATCGTCGTGTCACAAACCAGAGCGAAATCCAAGCCATTGCCACCAGGTTCAGCAGTTCCAGAGAGCCAATGAATGCGACGATAGGGTAGCCTGTCGATCGCAGCAGCCCCGCTCAGATCGGCAGCATCCACTGGCAATGGGTTCCCCATGACCGGTTATTGAAGTTTTAGCATCGGAGGGCGAGTCTCAGAGGAGGCTCTACGGCTCTTCTAATGCCCTTCCACTCTCGCGCGTTTGTTATCGCCAGTCTGGTTGATCGCAATCGCTTCGCTCCGGGAAGAAGCAAGTGTTTGCTGGCTCTTCTAATGCCTTTCACTCTCGCGCGTCGCTCCGGGAAGAAGCAAGTGTTTTGCTGTCGTCTGGCTGGCTGGTTGGTCCCAGTCGCTGCCGGAAGAAGGTCGAGAGTCGTGGAACAACCTACTAAGGTAGGCATGCATGCGGGGGCGCACGGGATTATCTTGCTAGTGCGGCAAGGAACCCCGAAAACTGGCCGCTGGCGTTGAATACGAGCACCATCGCGCCGGATTCGCAAGGCGGGAGTATGCCCAGGAAGTAGAAACCCGCGTCACTTCTCCGGCTCTGAATGAATCCGTAACGGGTGGGCTGAGTTAAACCAAAAAAAGCGCAGGTTTCGTCGACATCTCGGTATTGGAGACTAGTACGTCTTCTACTCTGCTTGGACGGGTAGCTCGAACCGTGATTGGCTTGGCTTTCCTACCCTCTTCCCCCGAATACAACGTACGGTTATTATAGCTGAATTTGGTGTATCTTTCAGTCTAAATTCAGCTATAATGACTGTACGTTGTATTCGGGGGAAGACTGTAGTGGAAGAGGCGATAAATATGTGATTACGACCAGGACGGTGGTCGTGGTGATCGGTATGACGCTGGCAGTGCTGCTGCTGCTGATGATGATGATAAGCAGTCTCGCCCAGATCGGCCTAGAAGCTCTTCACGATGACAATGGGGATAAAATGATGGTGATGGTGATGGTGATGAGGGTGGTAATGAGGATGAGGATGCTGATGCTGATGGTGATGCTGATGGTGATGGTGATGGTGATGGTGATGAGGATGGTGATGGTGATGGTGATGGTGATGACGTTGTCCAACGCACCTCGAGCGTGGTCCTCGATTATGTGATGGTGATGACGTTGTCCCAGGCACCTCCAGCGTGGTCCTCCTCGATTATGCAAACATGAAACGTGATTATAGAGCGGGCAAATGACGAGAAAAGAAGGCTCCCCATGCACCCTTCCAGGCAGCCATCATTCCATCCCTCACTGACTAACTATCACCTCCTTGCCGTCACTGTCCCCAATCGACAACACCCAGCGCCTTCACCGAACCCCTCTCGTCTGACCTCGAGACGTCAACATGACCTCTGAAGGTGACGCGCCGCTGAAGAAGATGGAGATCTGGAGCAGGTTCGTGGCTCTCTCTCTCCCGAAGCTCTCCTACTTCTATGTCCGGGTGCGCGCCTCTCTCTCAAATCCACCTTGTTTTTTAACTGAGAGGCTCGCCACGCAGGCTGTCGAAAACCCGGTTTTTTTTTTTTTTTTTTTTAAATCAGATATTAAACTGATCAGAACAGATACTACACTTGATCTTAGCCACACAGACCCCAACCCTATACCCTAACCGTTAGGGGCAAGGGGCAACATGAAATCTCCCCTTCACAGAGAGAGGAAAACTATGCTTGCAGGGGTCCCCTCTAGATAGTCTTAGGAGTAGGTAATGGAAGGTAAGAGAAACAGAAGTTGAGAGAAGAGTATAGAAAGAACAGAAAAAAAAAAAAAAAAGAATTGCGGCTCAAAAAACTTTCGACACGTGTCAGAATGGTCTACTTCCGTGAAACCCGTCCGCCTGGGAAAGACCAAAAACCTTGCCCCTTGACAGCCTGCGTCGCGAAGGGGGGGGGAAACTGTCGACGGCCGACTTTCGAATTTTTTCTGACACCTGTCGAAACTTTTTGAGTTTCAACAGCCTGTGTGGCGAGCCTCTAAGCTATTTCCTTCTCGCCACATGGCAGCGAAACGGAAACAAAAGGATTTTTTTTTTCACCACGGTTCGCGAGGGTGTAAGTTCATTTCTACTTCGTTTTCTGCTGCATCGCCACACCAAGCCAGCGAAACGAAAACAAATGAGGGCATACTCACACGGGTACATAAAGTCACAAGTATCTGGGGCGTTTGGGACCATGTATTTGTGCCTTTGGGTGCGCGTGCGGTCACTCACGAGTCCTGTGTCCACAAAGGACAGAGTCGTGGCCCTAACATTCCTGCCTCGACTCTGTCCTTTGTGGACACAGAACTAGTGTGTGACCGCAAAGGACAGAGTGTGACCGCAAAGGACAGAGTGTGGTCACACACGAGTTCTGTGTCACACACGAGTTCTGTGGGCCTTGCCACACCTATCCCGAAAACGCAAAAAAAGTTCGGGAGCACTCCCCAACGCGGGAGATGTGAAAAAACCTTTCGAGACGGCTCTTTGCCACACTGCGCTCTCCAAGGCGGCAGTCTCCAATTCGTCAGACGAGGCCCGACATTTTTTGGAGAGCGCAGACTACGGGCCTGGCCACACCACTCTCGAAATGTGCAAAATGAGAATGAACTTCCCGCTAGAACATGGCCAGATGCACCGGCCACATTTTTGTCTTTTCTACATTTCGAGAGTGGTATGGCGAACCCAGACAAAATGGTGGGAACAGATGTGGCAACAGATGGTTGTCCGTCGAGGCGCACTCTCCAGTTTGGGGCCGAAATCGGAGGAGCCTCGGACCACTCCTCAAATCCGGTGCTTTGCAGGCGGGGCGACCCACAAAGTTCGAGAGCACTCCCGAGAACCGCATTCTGACCGCTCTCCAAATTCTTTCTGACTGTGATTTTCGGGAGTTGGTGTGGCGATGCCACTTCTCTCCAAATCGCTGTTTTGGAGATAGGTGTGGCGAGGCCCTGTGTCCACAAAGGACAGAGTTGCGGCCCTAACATTTTATTTTTTATTTTTTTTTCAGTCCATTTATATTGCCGAAGTAAACCAGAGGCCCGGGTCCTCACAATTCAACCCAGAGTATCTGGCAGCATCATCCAGCTTGGCTTACAGGCTCAGCCTGCAAGCAATCACTTGCTCCATCATAGAAACTCTCAAAACACCCGACAGGGTTGAAAAATATCAAGGTACAGATTGGCCAACACATAGACCCCTGTCCTGAAGAATCAGACCCTGTAAAAATCAAAGGACGCTACAAGCCCAGAAAGCCTCACAATCCAAAAATAAAAGAAACAATTGCATCAAGCCAAAATGAAAAGCACATAAAATCCCCGCTAAAATACCCCTAGTAACCTATCTACTGTCTACCCTACCAACCCTACCTAACTACAAGGATCACTGCCTAATACGGCAGTTCCGGACCACCGTGGACCGGATAAACGATCGGCCACTACTCCCTCCACATTCCTCCCAACTGCCTTCCTCCTGCGGATGTAAGAACCGAGTGTGCAGGTTCAGGAAAAGAAAAACCAGTGTGCAGACTTAACTACTCCTTCCAGAACCAACTGTTCAAGGTCAACTTCCCATTGTCATAGCTAGCTAATCTGCCTCCTATACCCCATGTAACGCCAAACCAATTGGACCAACTTGCCCCAGATTTCCTTCTCCAATCCGCCTGTAGCATCCGTTGCAGAAGGGAGCGCGACATTTGCCTCACTTCCTTGTGACGCGCAACCTCACGCCCTGTGCTGTCTTTCGTTCGGAGTACTAGAGGTGCGGAAAAGGGGCCCAGAAAAACAGCAAGATGGGGTGTGCCAAGGATTTTTGGAAATTGAGTGTGGGGACACAGACGGAACTGAAATCCCCCGTGTTGGTCCGATGAAGTAAGTCGACCGTTTTTCGCACGTCGCAAAATACGCGCGAGAGTTCGGCGCGAAAGGGGAGAGAAATACAAATTCAATCCAAAAAGTATTGCCGGACTTCCCACCCTCACACGGCCCTTCGTTTAGAGCGAAAAGGTTTCGGCACTCTTCGCGTGTCTCGTCTTCGTATTAAGTCCCGACGTCGTTCACCAGTCAGTTCTGAGTCCGACGTGGAGGGCCTCAGTCGTGTGGCTCTTTCTCTGTGTTCGTCTTCACTCCGTACGCGATAGTGG